TCACACTGAGCCACATGGGATCCAGGACTTCGCCAGGACACACATGGTGGACTCATCGTCACAGCCCACAACCGCGGCAGGCCGACTGCATTCCCATACGACACAGCACATCTGACGGTCGTGCCGACGAGGTACCTGGGGAGGGTCCGGGTCGACTTGTCCATCACCTTCCCAAAGGCTAGGAGGTGGCCTGGGGAGGCCTGGCCTCTCTCCTCCCCTGCCCAATCATATACCAGTATTTAGATGCCACCTCTGTTCAAGACCAAGGACACAAGGCCAGCGAGTGCCCTCTGGGGCAGACGTGCACTGACTGAGCCCCTGCTCTGTGGTGAGCACCCCACTGCAAACCCAGACGACCCCGGAACAATCCGATCACAACCCCTGGGGGTGGGACCCAGGCATCCATCGTATGAAACCTCCCGAGATCGTCCCAATGACAGAATCACCCCATGTCCAGTCACCAGCTGAGTGCACCCTGCCTTGGGAATGGAAGGGTCTGTCACCTGACATGAGTGCCCTTCAAGAGACCCCAAGCTCCCGAGGAAGCTTCTCAGTGCCCAAGCGTCAGCTACAGCTGGGATCAGTCTGGCAAGACCCACGCTTGCTGTTTTCTGCAGACACAAAACCCAGCTCGTGCAGCCTCGGAAGCAGCTCCAGCCTCCCCTGACCACAGGTTTCGGGTATGTTTTTCTCTGATATGTGTACTCAGCACTGGCCTGCCCCTGGGCCTGCGCTCTCACGCTCACCTGCCACCACCTCCCTTCCTCTGCAGGTCACCACGGCTGCCTTCTCACCCTCTCACCTGCCACCACCTCCCTCCCTCTGCAGGTCACCACGGCCACCCTCTCGCCTGGGTCCCTCCTGCTTCCACTCGTTCCTGCCACAAAGTGGATGAGAACACCCAGTTGTTGCTCTGGGTACTAAAACAGGGGTCCTTGCTGGAGGCTCTGCTGACCCCTGTGCAGTTCAAGCAGTCCTCACCCCAGGGACTCCGCTGTCAGGCTGTGACTCGCCCTCATCTCACACACGTGGCCTGCTGCCGCTCCCAGCAGGTGAGGTCTCATTCTATCTCTCACTGAGCCCCCAGACAGGTCGATTCCAGCACAGACACCACCGAAGCCCAAGCATCGAGCCCCAACACGCCCTGGCCCCTTGGCAATACTTGAGCAGGCAAGTTTCCACAGCTCTCGGGCACTGAGACCCAACAGGCCCAGGGCCCCAACCGCCCCGCCCGCACTCGCTGGTAGCCAAGGGTTAGGGGGACCCCCATCCACCCCAAATAGGCTGGCTCCCACGCCTCCTGGCCTGTCCCTGGCGTCCGCTGGCACTGCAGTTCTTTTCTCCATCTTTCCCTCCCAGGCTTCCACCTCTGCCTGGGGCCGGGGTAGCTCTAACCTGATCACAGTTTTGCTCAGCTCAGAGATGTAGATGAGGGAAACCAAGACTCCGTAGGTGGCTGGGTCTGAGGAATAATGGCAAGGGGGTCTCGGCACGTGTAGCCGGGCGATGCGGATGGTCACCCAGAGGGAAGAGACAAGGACGAAAACAGGGCACCTGTGGGTAGCCACTGGAGGGCCGGGAAAGCTGAAGACCAACACTTAGAGGACAGAGACCTGAAGGGAGAGCGAGAGCCCAGAACTGCAGGAGGAACCCGGGGAGAGCTGTCTACTCAGGACTGGATGCTGGTCAGGAGTCACGAGGACTGGAGATGACCACTGGACTCTAAGGTCCAGTGGCAGTCCTGCTACATGACAGGTCCACGGGCCTGGGGTGGGGGTAGTGGAGGGAGTGGGCCCACGGCTGGACGGGGGAGGCGGGGAGAGACGCATTTCTGAGAAGGGAGTGACCTCACCCAGAGCATTTAGTTCAGCATCAGAAGAGGATGCAGACAGATGAGGATGAGCAGGGGTGAGGCCAGGACACAGGCGAGGACAGGTGTCTTCTCCCTGGAGCAGGTGGGCTCATCAGGTGACAGGGGATGGGATGAGGGCCCAGCATGAAGGCAAGGCGGTGAACTCTGCAGAGTGCAGGTGGGTGCTGAGCCGGGGTCAGACAGAGGCCCTCATTCAGAGCTTTCCTAGCTGCGTGGCTAGGTCCTGGCTGCAGGTGGCGCTCCGAGGACACAAGTTACTAGATTCTCTCAGGCTGCTCTGGCTGAGCAGGGAAACAAGGTCCTGGTGAAAGACCGACCGGCTGGAGGGAACCTGCTGGCTACAGGGAGCTGATGGCAGGATAGGGGAACAGGAGGCTGTGGTCAGAGTCTAAGGGGCAGCAAGAGCGGAGCAGGGCTCAGTGATGAGGCACAGGTGTGGCTCTGGAGCTGGCCACTCAAGTTGCAATTACCACGAAGAAAAGATCAGAGTAGGGAGGAGAGACCTGGGAGATGAAGGATCGAGCCTGCCCTCTGCCAGGGGGAGGTGGGGAAGGTCTGAGATGAGCCAGGGACAGTGAGGCACTCTGGGAGCTGGAACCTCAGAAGCACAGAGGGTCTTCCTAGAGCCTTGGCCCCTCCTTCCCACTGCTGAAGCTCAGAGCTGGGAGAAGACCCAGTAGGATCAGGTTTCCCTGCAACATGAAACCACCCTGCGGGGGAAGAGCCAGCCCCAGGAAGTGGAAGGCCGAAGAAGGGTTCTCCAGGGTGATTGTTCAACAGTGTTTATTGAGCGGCCATCCATCCCGCCGGGTCTGGTGGACACAGGCCCTGCGCCCTGGGCTCAGACCCTGGCAGAGGCACAGTGGAATGGCTTGAGGCTACATTTGGTGGGGAGCTCCGAACACAGGAGGGCGCAAAGGAAGGAGAAGTGTCCTTCTTGGGCAAAGAGGCCCTTGGGGAAGGGCTGAGTTCAGCCATCTTCAGCTTTCTCGCTCAGCCTGGGGGGACCAGGTCTCCCAGCTCAAAGGCCGTGTAGCCATCATTCCTGACCAAGAGCTTACAAGCGCCTGGGGTGTGCTGAGCCTTGAGGTGCACAGAGTGGAGGCAGCCTGGGGACGGGCAGGGTGGCCGGCAGCCCTGGAGGGGGGAACACTCGGGGCTTAGAGGCCAGAGGGGGCCTGGGCCCAGGCTGGTGGGGCCGCTCTGGTGGGACTCAGCCTTGGGGATTGTCCATGGGGACTCTGTCAGAATCCCTGGGGGGCTCTCCTGCCCCAAGAGTCTGGGATGCTCTGCCTCCCCCAGGCCCCTCCACAGGAGATGCACCAAGCTGGGAAGCCACGGAGGATAGAGGGAGGGCAAAAAAGTTATTGAGCCACTGGGCTAAGTGGGAGGAGCTCTGGAAGAGGCGGCTGCGAGATCGCAAAGCCCTCCCCATGCGGCGGGGTGACCTGGTGGCCGTCTGCAGGCAGGTGGGATGCTCCTGGGCACTGGAGGGATGGCTGGGAGACCCTGTGGTGGCAAGGGTGCTGGCCTGGAACCCGGTGGGAGAGGCCCACATGGGGGAACGGTACAGTTGGAGGGGCAGGTGGAGGGCCTGGCGGGGGGGGGTGATTCGTCCTCGGTGCGAATTTTATTCTGCAAAAGCCGGCCGTATGCTCCTGGCGTTCGGCAGGCTGGTTGGCAGGCTGGGCACAGGAGGTGGCAGCTCGCTCGGCAGGATGGTGGGGAGGCCAGGCTGGGGGGTGGCACGTGCCGTTGGGCAGACAGGAGGCCTGGCGGGGCGGGGAGGCTCCAGGCCCTCTCAGCAGGGTGTGGGCTGGCGGGGAGTGTGGCTCGGTGGTCTCCATGGGCTCCACGCACTTTCCAATACAGAATCTCAGACTGAGTGCTGGAAGGGACCCCAGGGACCCCCCAGTCTGACTTTCACTCTATTCGGATCCCCCCTTCCCCTGGATAGGTGACAGCCTAGACTCTGGCAATGAACCACCAGGAGCAGAAAGGTCACTACCCACAAGGCCACCTGTTTCATGGCAGGGTGGCTTCAAAGAGGCCTCTCTACATGGACCCCACGTGGGCTCGTGTGGCCCTGACAGTGGCGGTCTCACCGCCCTTCACTGGCCCTGGGATGCTGGGTAGCAGGAGACGGATTCTTACTCAGCACCCATCACTGAGAACCTAAGCAGACAGAAACTACACCAGGAAACTCCCAACAAAGACCTGGGCTAGTCCAGGAAGGAGACAGGGCTCTGGGAGGAAGCCCGCTTCCGGCACTTGGAAGAATACATTGGCTAACGATGGCTCCTGTCCTGGCATGCTGAGGCGGCGCGGTCCAGGCATGAGCTGGCATTTGCAGGCTCCTCAGGACAGCTGAGGACTCCCTGTCTTGTGGGAAACTCCCCAGGCACAGGGCAAGTCTAAGAGCCACCTGCCATGGCTGTGCCCGGCCCTGGAATGGGTGCAGGAAGGAGTCCCACCCAAACCTCTGGGCCACTCACCGGGTTGTCAACATCGGAGTCTTCCGAGCTGCTGATCACCACGATGCGCTCCTCTGAAAAGGCAGGAGACGGCATTAGGCCCTGGTGGATGTGCTCTAGGTGGGGGCTCAGGGTTTCACCTGTGGGAGACCCTGCCGGCCATGTGCTGTGGGTGACGTGCATATGGGAGGGACGGGAATGGGCAATGTGGGTGCTGTGTGCTTTCGGCCATGGTGAGGGTTAGAAGAGGCTTCATTTTGTTTATCAAAAGCCTTTGATTGCCAGCAGCTGTTGTGAGCAGGCAATAGCAGAGCGGGGCGGGGCTCGGGACCAGGGGCGGGGGGCACGTGGGGCCTGGAGTCAGGGGCAAGTGAGGAGCGGAGCTGGATTCTCTGGGTGACAGACAGGGTGAGCTCTCCTCTTCTCAACCCTGGAAAGAGCTCGACTTCTGCCCGAGGACTCAGACTCCCCATCTGGGGTGTCCCGATATCGCGTGACTAGACACTCAGGTGGGTGGACTTTGCAGAAAAATCTGGGGAAGTGATGGGTGTGGCCGTTTCCCAAGTCCTCTCCAGGAGTGTGGGGGGCATCCGGCCCACTGTTCATTGGGGAGACTTGCCCTATGCAGACGCTTGGTACTGGGCATGGCTTAGTATTTTGGGGAACGAAACCCAGGGACTGCATTCGAGTCCCTTTGGCCCCCCACCCTGGAGTCGCAGCAAAGCATGAGGTGCAGGACTCTCACTGTGTGGGCTTTGCCTGCCCCATCCCACCACTCAGGACAGAACACGCAGTGAGCCCTGTCAGCTGTGGGCTCCCTGGGTGGGACCAGAATGCAGAGGGGCAGCCCAGCCACTGCCCTGCCCGCCTCCCTACCTGCCTCCTCCCCAGCGGTGCTGGCCAGGTGGTTGCTGCTGGGCAAGGAGACTTCGTCTCCCACCGTGGGATGCCCGGGGCTGGTGGGTCCATCAAGGCGGAAGGGTGAGACTGCTTTGGAGGTGCTGGGCCTGGGCTGCACGGAGGGGCTCCGTGCCAACCTGGCCTCCCTCTCCTCCTCAGACTCCATCTTGATGACCTTCCTGGGGCTCTGGGTCTGGCAGGACTTCCTCTTCTGGGATGTGGTCGTGTGGGAGATCTGTGCGGCAGGAGTTGGGGCCAGGTCAGGGGCCCCAGGTCTGTGGGCAGAGACCCTGCAGCTGGCCCCTTGCTCTGCTGGCCCCTCGCACCCACTCCTTTGTACTCTGCCATGCAGATCATGCTTCTCCTCAGACAGAAGGTCCCCCCAGGCCGGTCCTGGCTGCCGACCACCTGTCTAACAGTCTCAATGTCCCGACCCCCAACCTCTGGGAGAGACCCAGGTGCAGTAGGGAGCTTGTACAGTGCGACAAGGTGCAGAGTAACGGGGGCTGGCGGGGAGCTCATGCAGTGCGGCAGGGCACAGAGCAGAGGGGGCTGGTGGGGAGCTCGTGCAGTGCAGGAGGGCACAGAGCAGGGGGTGCTGGCGGGGAGGCCTGGACCTCACCAGCTCTGCCTCATTGCCTAGCTGGAACCCAACCTTCACAAAGGGAGGCAGGGTCCAGAGGAACCTTACCTCTCCGCAGGAGGGCTCTTTGATGGAGAAGGCAAACACGGGCACAGGGTGTGCCCCGGGCACTGGCTGGACTACAGCCACAGACTGGGCCTCGGCCGGCCCCTGGCCCTGGGCCTGTACCCTCTGCACCTTCTCGGGCTGCAAAGTCAGGGGGCAAGAGAGTCAGAGACAGCCAGGGTCCCGGGGCCTGTGGCTGGCCCACTCCCCAGGGCTCCCCGAGTCGCAGTGTGGGCACCCTGGGCCGGAGCTTGGAGCTCACTCGGTGGGGGGTTGGGGGGGACAGTAGTCCTTCCTAAACCGTCCATGGCTCCCCCTCCTCTGAACCCGAGTTGCTGGTGTACTGACACCAATGCAATTCTTGCATGTCCTAACAGAGCGGGAAGACACCCCAGGAAAGCACCCAGCCAGCGGCTTCTCGATGCACACTGGGTAACGAGCCCCAGCTTGCACACCTCCAGGGACCACACGCTCTCTCCTGGTGGAAGCAGCTCCTATGGCTACAAAACTTCCACAGCAAGAAAATCCTCCTACAAAGCTCTAACAGCAAGAAAATCCTCCCACTGAGCTGAAACCAGTGCCCTGGAGGCCTAACTGCCACTTGGCCTGAACTCCACCTGGACTAGCTGTCACGCAAGTTAGATGAGTTACTTAAAATTCACTGGGCCCCGCTGGCCCCACGGCCTACTGGTTAAGGGATCCAGATCCCACACAGCCAACTACGTGGCCCGCAATGAAAATTTTTAAAAAGACAGTATTTCCAAGGTCCTACTCTATCGCTGTATCTGGCTCTGAAAACTGCAGGAATCTTTGTAAAAGGCCTTCTTCGCCCATGGACTGTGAGTCTCTGCGGGCACTTCTACTGTCCTTTGCTACTCCCTCCCGCCGACGGCTCCTCCAGCCACTTGCTGCCCTCGTCTCTGGACTTTCCCTGCAGACATGGGGACCAAAGGACTCTGCCTTGCTTGACCTGCTGAGCCCACCGCTGCCCCTCCAAACCTCAAATCCTTCTCACCGGGTCAATGTCAATAGGGTCCCTGGGAGTGCTGGCAGCCTCAGGGCTGGCTCTCCTGGACGGAGCTGCATCTGGGGGACAAAGAAAGGTCACGGGCAGGTCAGTGCCACTCCAGACAGAGAAGTCCCTGCTGCATCTCTTGGACCACTCCAGGGCATCCCACTGCCTTCAGCTCCGTGGCTGTCAGAAGAAAAGTTTTCTACTGCGGTGGGGGCGAGTCCGGCCAGGAGGGATAGAGGTGGCTCTGTGGCCCCGAGTCTGAGCACACCTCTCTCCACGTCTGGGTCTCCAGCAAGGTGAAGTGTGTGGGAAGCCATCACTGCTCACTGGCTGCGCACGGTGAGCACACGGCCAGCTCTGACTCATCTAGTCCACACCGCTCACTCTGCAGTGGCCTTCTCTCTGCTGCCCTTTACGGCACCCAGGACAGGCTGTGTCCATGCCGCAGGGTCACTCCAGACACAGGCACACGCTCAGGGCCTGGGGAAGAAGCCCTATGTGCACCTGCCCCAGGACCCTAGGACTCTACCTTCATGAGGAGGAGGAGGAGGAGGAGGAGGAGGAGGAGGAGGAGAAGGAGGATCAGGGAGCCCTGGGAGGATCAGGGAGCCCCACCGCTGGCGCCTGCCTGAGTGCCTGCAGATTCGTGGTCTCCCACGCTAGCTGCTCAGAGCTCAGACTCCAGCTTAAAGATTTGGTCACAGAGCCCTGAAGGAGTCATGCACACCCCACACCCCATTTAATTTGAAGGCTGCAGGTCCCTCCCCCCACGTCTCCACCCACAGAGATGCGACAAGGCTTGGACTGGGTCTGCACAGCCAGCACTGCCTCACTCCCCGCTTGGCGACGTGGTCTTGGCCCTCTCCTAGTTGGCCTGGACAACTCTGGAGGTCAGGAAACGGTCTGCTTCTCCCCACCTCCCAGCACCAGGTGGGCCCCGAAAGGCTGGCAGCTAGCCCAGAGGACAGGCCACCCCGTGGCAAGGGCCCTTCTCCACTGAGCCACGGAGTAGAGTGGGGCCAGCAGCCAACCACACCCGGGGCTTCTTGACCCTCTCTGCCCTAAGGCCATGTCCCAGTTGTCCTCTCCATTCCTGGACACACAGGGCTCGGGAGACACTCCCAGAGTGAAGGGTGCTCTGGGGCTAAAATGATACGGGGTGAGTTTCGGCTTTGCAGTTTCTCACGCTCATCTGAGGAACATTTGCACATGTTCCCAAGGTCACGAGCTAGTCCTTAGGGTCTTGGAGATTAGCAAAATGTGGGCCCTATGAGCGGCTACTACCCCAGTCAGGGCCTCCTCTCCCCCTTATCCTGCACCCTAAGACCTAACCAAACCCGAGACACAATAAAACCCATTTTCCTTTTCTGTCTTGTTCTCCAGGGCTTAGGGTTGTGTTAAGGTTAGGGAA